GGACTGATAAAGTGATGTTTTCTTTAATTATTTTATTTTCGGGGGAACAAGCGTGTGTCTGATACAACAAATATTGGCTCCTGTATCAATAGTTATTGGTGTATAAATATCATTAAGTTTTGCCCGAATAAATAAAAGTACAGAAATATGATTGATTTTGTGAGTAATTGCTGGTTTTTTAACTGACAATGAAGGGTAACAGTGAGTGTCAGAAAAACTGTTTAACCTATTTATTACTTTTTTTTGAATCGAAAATTGTTTATACATTTGTGCTGAATGTCCTATCATACCGCATAGTTGACAACTAATTTGGTTATTTTTGAATCGACAATTTTTTGTAGAATGATTGTTTCTCGAACAAATTGTACATTGCATTTTATTATTGTTATCGAAAGTATTTTTGTTTTTAAAATAGCAAAATTCCGTGGTATTATTATTTTTGAAGCATATTAAAATTTTATAGTGAAAAATCTTGTCGAACAAAACCAGAAATATATAATGTACCATTATTGTAAACTTATACTAATAGATATTTTAGTATTTAGAAGATTTAAGACAAAAAAACTCTATGTCCCATGATTAAATAAAAATTGTTTCTCATTTGTTAAATATGTATACAAAGCGTTGTATTAATACTGTAATAAAAAAAATATATCTATATAAAAAAAAAGTAAAAGATTTAAACGCCTATTATTTATAAATAACTATGTTTCTTATTTGATTTTATTAAAAAAATATATTAATATCACAATCTTAATAGGTTTTATTATTACTTAAATTATCATTTGTTATGTACAATAGAAATTTTTAAAATGTTTCAAAATTTTTGGCTTAATTTTAAGCTATTCGCTTTAATATTTTTTAATTCAATTAGTTTTTTCTTATTAAATGTAGAATTTTTATTTCCTTTTATTGTTGTCCATACCTCGCATGCGTATACATAACAATACCTAGAGTGTATTTCTAACAGAATCCAACCATAAATAGCATTTGAAGATTTTGGTTTTCCAAGCAAACTTATAAAATTAATTAAAAACCGTTACTCACACACCTTCTATAAAATAATTAATTAGAAGTTTTTTTTAAAGTTAGAAAGGGGCTAAGTCACTGTTCCTCGCATTTTTCAACTTGACTCTAAAAAGAGTAATAAGGGAAACACTAAACAATAAGGAAATTAACGTAATCGGAAACATATTTAGCATATACAGATGACATCGTCATTCTTGAAGAATTTAAAATAGATTTTATATAAAGCACAATTTGATTATTAAAAAAAAATGAAACTTATAATAAATGAAAATATATTAAAATACATGTTTATTACGAAAACGCCGGCAGTTGTGAAAAACTTCAGAATATTACTTATTCAAAGAGGATAAAAATTTCAAATATTTGGGGGGGTTAATATAAACCAAAGAAATAACGTGCATAACGAAATAAGGTCGAGATTCGTTTCATCAAATAAAGGATGTCTGACCAAGAGAAATTTTAATTTTGAAAACTGTATTTATATTAGTCTAATAGCCCGGTCAATGCAGTAAAAATAGCCATCTAATTACTCTTTAACTGTATATGATTTAGTATATATATAGCTACTTTTTTTAAAAGAACAAAGGAAGCGTGTTGCAATGTAACTCTTAATAATTTAATATATATCAATATACAATCAAATATGTTACCTATAGAAATTTAAGAATGTTTAAAATACATTAACACATTTTTTTCAATGTTAGAATTTCGACAATCTTTGAATATTATTTTGTTGTTAATATTTTAAATTTTAATAGCTATAATCAACTTGAAAATGGAACAAAATTGTCTACATAAAATTATCTACTATAATTATCTGTCATCTGAACTATAGATTAACACCTATGCATTTAATTAGAAAAAAATAAAAGTAAATTGATCCAGTGTTTACTATAATGGAAAATAAATTACAATTTATGATTATTAAAAATTATTTTTATTATCATGTCATAATATTAGGTATATATTGCATTTATATTATATAATGTATAGTTAGGGAGGTAAGAATATTATGCTGATAGAATATTTTTGGCAGATCGTTGTCACATATTTCAGGGCATTCCCATGTTTGTATATTTGATATTGCATAAACATAATTATAATTTAAAAAAAAAAAAGATACAATAACAAATAACTCATTAAACTATAGCTGGTTAGTAAAAATTAAATTAAGATTAAATTGCTTTAATACCATTTATCATCATTATTCTAATTGAAGTTAAGTAAATTTATAGTCTAGGTTGTATTTTTAATTATATTATATATTTTTAAACAGTTTTCAATCCAAATGGACTTAATGGACTTTCATTTTATTGCAAATTAGCATTGTATTTTTCTGTTGATTGTTCAATTAAAAAAAAGATTTTTGAATTCTATAGATGAATACAATTATTTTTAATACATTTTAATTGATAAATGAACAATATTAAGTTTATAAACACCTAGTAATTATTAAAATGTTAGTAAGTTTATTTTTCTGTACATTAGTTGCATATAACTTATCATTACACTGCATTTATTTGAAAATACATTAAGTTTAAATATTTTGATACATAACAATATAACAAAATACTGATGATTAATAGTAAATCAGAGAATTTTTAAAATTTAAATAAAAATCACAAATAAACAAATACAAATTAGATAATTTTATTAAGTTTCAACTAACCAATCTTTAATATTGGCTATTTTATGATTTATCAAATTAAATACATAATACATATCATATAGGCACATAAAAATCCTTCATGCTTTTTATTATTATAACTGACCAAGGACTTGAACTTTAGATAGTGTTAAACTTAGGACAGACATAAAATTAGAATATGAAATCTAATTCTCTATTATTAAGAACTATCATTAATTAAAAATTAAGGGTTTAATGAAGTAATATTTATTGGATAAACTTATTTGAAATTAAGAATCTTTTAATAGTTCTAAAACCTATTATTTTAATGAGGAATGTGTGGATTTAAGAGAAAATATTTAAACTTAAGATAATATAAGTATGATAATATGTAGTTAAGGGTGCACAAAAACCACAGATATAGATGCTTATAATTGTGCAAGAATTAAATCTTTTTTCCCCTCATGTTATATTTAAATATTTAAAAACCAAGTTTACTTGTATCATACCATCAATTTGAATTTTGAACTTACAGAGATGAATTAAGTATAAATTACTTATCCATCACACATTGCTCCTGCTATATAAATCTTCCTTGTTTGTAGATATTCTATAATTAATGCAATTATTATCCTAGTATTTTTTTCCTTTAGTATCTGTTTGAAATTTATCAAAAATACTATAAAATTACCATAACTACTTCCGTGTAATCTGTTAGATAACATGACCTTATATAGTTAAATAATATTTTAATATTAATATATAATAATTATTGACATTTTACCATTATGGGCTTAAAGCTTAAATGCTTAATACATTTTTCTATATTTTGTGATGACCATTATAACTAAAATAGTTTACACAAAACAAACAATAATAAGATTTTCCACAAAATTAATAAATATAAAAACAATTTTATTTTCTGTACTATTGTGTAAAATTATAACCACAGTCCATAGATAATAATAATTATTTTAATAAATCAGAATACCAACTACTTAGTCATCTGGCTTTTACATACCACTATCACCAAGTCATTCACCACATATTACAGTTTGGGAACCTCTGTTGTAGCTGGTAAATAAAAAAAAAACCCACAAAAATAAAAACCAGATTTGTCATTTTTAATAATGTGTTTCTAATTTAAATTAATACTATTTGTAATTACAATTATATTTATCTAAAGTTGAATTTGATTAAATATATAAAAAAACTGTTTATTTTTTTTGTTATTTTATACTTTTATTTGGAATAGTTTTTTTTTTTTTGAGAAAGCTTAGTTTAGGTATGTTTTGTGAGTGTGTGTATATGATTTCAAACTTAAACCCCTGAATAATAAAATATGTAAAAAGGATTGATATTTAGAAGTTATTTAATAATAAAATTAATTTTAATTAGCATTGACAAATTTTTTACTACAGTTTCCCATCATAGATATATAATAAAATAATATTATATTATATCTATAATCTATATAATGTGTTTTCCATATAACATATTTGAGCACCTACTAATAACAATTTAATTTTATGTATTTTATTATTTTTATTGTACTTGTTTAATTTGTTTTATATGTATAATCTTAGCTAAAAAGTTTCATAGCTAAATAATGATTCATAATTTATTGTATTTACATCAGGGTGTAATGTTTATGCATTCTAGACTCTTATTTCTTTAAAAAAGTTTAAAAGAAAATAATGTTTAATCAATGTCATCTACCAATCATATTCTATTAGTAACTGTTTTATTATACTGTTTTTATTCACTTGAGCACGGATTTTTGATTAATGTGATGTTCTGACAGTGTGATTAGGTCATATGCGCGTAATAGATAAATAGTAGCAGTTATTGTTTGCAATCATGATATTTTTACAGTGATTTCTTTCATTATCATGGTAACACACGCATAGTGTAGGTGATAAATATTTTTCACAGTTAAACATCACTAGATCGTATAGAACATTTAAAAAATTGAAGAAAAAATAGCTCGACGTGGTATTGTACGTATTTGTTTTTCAGTAAAATAACTAATAAGTGATAAAATAACATTATTTATTATAAATTATAATATATTGGATAATTGAGACAGAACAACGATGTAGTAACATAAAATGTTGCATTAGTCTCTTAGTAGTTGGAAGTACTTCAACAGGTACGATGACGAATAAACCGAACCGTGTTTCTAGACGTGCGTCCATTATTCCTCCAACGAACGTGCGGCATCCTCGCATACTGTGATAATAGATATCACTATAACAGGCTCGCTTGTTAAACCTCCATACGGTTCTCACGGGCCGCCCCCCTAACCAAAAAACAGATTCGGCGCCGTTCGTGTTCGCCGTCAGTCGACACTGACGCAGAAACATACTGTTGTCGTCTTGTCGTTCTGTCTGTTGTCAGTTTTCGGTTTGTAGTCGTCCACCATTGTACGCCCCTACGCCGCCGTTGTTGTTATAATAATAATAATAATAATAATAAATATTATTTTATCGCACTGTTGACTATTGTATTTTATGAGCGTTCCGCCGGTAGACGCATTTCTTTCCGTTGCTGCGTGCACACGCACCTTGATATTTCCGAACAACTCCGTGGATCCTTGATTGTCGTTGTTGTTTTCGAAGACTCGCACTCCTTAGCAGTAGCCTACGCTGATGATTGCGTCCTCGTCTGCTAAGTCTCCTCTCTCGATTCACTGTCGCGTGTGTAGCCCTATCGCGTAGGATGCGCCCTTAAATATGTAAATCGTCCGTTGTGTCGGACATGCGTCAAATCGTAATATGAGCAACACCAGACTTGATCATAAAGGTAAATAAAGTCTATGCAAATCTCTTTGTGATCGTATACACGTTGTTATTGTTTTTACTGCTGTTCTCGTTGTTATTGTTTTTACTGTTGTTCTCGTTGTTCTAGTGTCAAAACTCATGCTTTTTCGTTTTGCTCTTTTTCAGTTGACGAAAGTGCTATCATCAATTTTGGTAACATCTATTTACCATGTTCACGGTGGGAGTGAAAGGCGGTGGCAGTCCATGGGTAGTTTGCAATCTAGATCAATTGATTGAAATTTTCCCTTCAGCAACTTTAAGCGTTACATTCGACGAGTTGAGGGAAACATTTAAACCAAAATTACCACCAGGTGCTGATCTTAAAGACTACTGTGGAGCTATCTTATTAAGCCTTATGGATCCGGTCACCAAAAAGTGAGCATCTTATAGCATTAAGTACCTATTTTTACTTATGGTTTTTATAATACCTACTATTATTTTTTCTTGCAATTTGAGTTTCATTTAAGTATTTTGTTGTTAAACAACAATTATTATATTTACTTGATTAAGTAGGTAATCATTATAATTATCCATTAAATGGCAATTATAGTTTATTATGTTTTGCTGTTTCATACTGATATTGTTAATATTTTATTTGTGTAACTTGTTACTACTGATCTTTTAATAATTACTTGAAAAGTATTTTTAATTTTTATCAATTCATAATAATAAAGTAATAATATTATGATAAAAACTGCTAAGTATATTATCCATCTTTTATGATAGAAATATACAATATATAGTTTACGTACAGGGTTGATCTTAAAATCAATAAATGATAATGTGTAGTTATTATTTATTATTGAGAATAGATTTAAAAGAACACCTAAATATTCAAAATACCAATTATTAAATGTGCAATGCAAATTATATAATTTACATGAAAAAATGTTACTTATATTATTTGTGTATGGGAATTTAACATAAAATACTTATTATTTCAGAAAACATGAAGATTTTAAAATAGTTTTATTTACAATAACAGCATATATTATTCATTTTGTATTCTGAAATTATATTATTGAGAGTATTCTGTTCTATCAATTTGATTTTTAACTATTAAAGTATTTAAAATAACGTAAATAGTTTTTGAAATAATGAGTGTCTTATGTTAAATGAATCATTGATTTAAATAAAAGAGAAGCCAAATCTTTTTTGATAAAGTTATACTGAGAATATATTTAGAAAATTATAAAAATGTATATGGCCTCTGGGATTTATCAAGGGGAAGGGTATTCAATGTATATTAAAGGCAAAAAAAAAGAAAAGATATCTGTTCTAAACTGTCTGTGATTGATATTTTTAATCGTAGTGTATATTATATTTTGTTTATATAATAATAAACATATTTTTAACTTTTTTAATTATTTTATTACAAAAATATGAAAATATTAGTACCTATATCCGTTCTATAACTGAACATTTTTACATAAATTCATTAGGTAAGGCATTTAAGGAGATAGAGTTTTAAAAATATAAAAATATTAGATTATTTAATTATATTAAAGTTTATGCTTATTTAATAGTTTTTTAATTTCTACTCATTGAAATTAATTTAGACAAATTTGTATAACAGGAACTCAAGATTTTAGTAGTAAGGTAAAAATTTGAAAAAAATTTTACAATTACTGCATGTTTAATCTTAAATCTACTACTTAGTATCTCAGCCAGACAACCTTGAACTTAATTAGTATTTTTGAATTAGCTAAGGAGCTATTAAAATATAGTTTTTGGGTAAATTTTTAAATTTTGACATTAAATGTGTTGTACATTTTGGTTTTTTTTTTAAAATAACATCCAATTTTTGACTCTAGGATGCTGGATTTGAATAAATCTTAAGTTTTAAAATAATTTTTATTTTTAAACATCAACTTACACTAATTTAAATTTAAGATCATCCCACCAATATCTTAAGTCTAGTAAATTTTAGATCTGATACTTTAAATATATATTATAGTCCTTATACAATTATGTCCTGTTATTTGATTCATACTTAAGAGTGTTCTTTTTGTTAAGTCTACATCTTATTTTAGACAGAAGTGTGAGAAAAACACTTATGTATAGCCGCAAGTAAAGCTTATCTACATAAACTAATTTTAGTTGATGAAATTTATACTTAATATTATTTTATTTAAGTTTTTATTTATTTAAAAATTATTATAAACAATATTTTAATTCTACAATGGATTTTAGTAAAACCTATTAAGGTATCAATAAATTGTGTGTCATTAAAACTTTTTGCCGACAAATTAAATGAAAACAAAGTAAATTTATTTCTTTGTATTTTGTTTTCATATATTTGATTTTTTATATATAAACGAGACTGTTCTGAGTGACTGATTCATAATCAACCTAGAGCAGAATTTATTAAAGTTATTGATTTGACATTTTGAGGGTAAATTAATATAATTATTTCATCGTATACTAAGAAAGGGTTTTTAAAATTTTTGATTTTAAGGGGTTGAAATCAGCAAAAAACAAAATTTTATGTGTTAACAGTATACTAATATACAGTGTGTAAACGGTAATCAAGAACATTCAATATCTTTGCGTAGAGACCTGATATTTGAATTCTGTTTTTTTGGTGTTTGACATAAAATACACATTTTATGTCTTCAATTTTATAGCAAATATACGCGCATCTAGTCAACTTTTTAATGCAACCTGCTTTAACCACTAATTATTTTTGCCTATTTTTAATGAATTTTGTAGTGGAATCAACTTTCAAGTCAAAATTGACCAAGTTACACAATTCAAAAATTAGAAAAATTGATTTTCAGCTTTTAATTGAACTCTGGAATATAATATAGGATTGTTAAAGTTGACATTTTATAACTATTTATTAGCGGTGATAATGTCGTTATTTCTAATTACTAGACATAATTTTCTCTTTGGTTGTGTAATAAATCATAACTTATTATTTCAGAAAAGCATTAAATTAGTATATAACAATGCAGCCAGCCAACTTCC